CGGTACGCCACCGCGAGCTGAGCTTCCAAACCTTCAATGATAGCCCAGTCGACAGCAGCCCTCTCCCTCTCGTCCTCGATAGCTTGACGAAGTTCCCTAATCTGCCTTGCTGAATTGGTGGTACCCCGGCGAGCCCAATCCACAAATCGATGCCGAGCTATCTTGAGCAAGGAGAATAGTTGAAACTGTGGTGTACCAGCCACTGTTTCCTGCCACGAATGAATGACTATGGTCCTAGCTTCATCATTAGTCTTCCATCTCATGTCAAACACGAACCTTGGCTTACCTTTCCCCGACCCGGGAATTAATTGTAAGAGGAGCATCCTGTGATCAAAACCAAGGTCAGTCAAATGCGAGACCTGCACATTCGGCCAAACATGAAAGATCAGATCAGAGCCTAAACCACGATCAAGGCGTTCAAGAATATGATTAGAGAGGCCCTGCCGATTGGACCAAGTGAATGGGGGGCCTCTGAAACCTAAGTCCAACAAACCAGCCGCATCAATAAAGGAATGGAAATGATCCATGCTAGCAAATGAAGGTGGGCGACCACCCTGTTTTTCAGACGCATACAGCAGACAGTTAAAGTCACCGAGTACAAGAATAGGTGATGAACACGACTGAATCAACACTACTAGTTCATTAAACTGAGAAAGACGCATATTTACATCGCAACCGAGATGAACAAAGAAGAGGGTAATACTTCCCCAAACTAACAGCTGAATCTCAACCTGGATAAAGAAGGAAGATTCTCCTATCACACTACATTGGACACTAGGGGCGCTGGCCAACACCAACCCACCAGACCTACCAACCGGAGACACACAGCTACGTACTACATACCCTAACCGATTAAGTTTCTTATGCACAAAGTCGTCATCCCGTTTCGTCTCACTCAAGCAGATAATCGAGGGAGAGAAACGCGAAATAGCTCCAAACAGCGACGGAATTGTCAAGGTGGAGCCAAGCCCCCGACAATTCCAGGCGAGGAAGCTCATCTATCCTGGCGGGACCAGTCCGGGCAAGTTGCCACCACCACATCCTTAATTCCATGATCCTGAACAAGTTGGTTGTCCTCAAGCTTCTGTTTTTTGGGTTCCGGGTTGAGAAGGACAATGTCAGTTGAAGCAGGCCGTCCCCGGATCTCTGCCTCCGCAGTTGAATAGGAACCCAGCCTAGCCACGGGCGCTGGGACAGGAGACCTTAGGCCGAGCTGTGGAGGGAGGTCCCTCTATTTGCGAACCCACGTCATTTGACGGCGTCCCAACAGGCTTCTCTCATTGACTTTGGGGCCAAACTTTTGGGAGATCAAACGCCTGGTATATGGAGGATTTGTGCCAGCAAGCTCTTCCCTGCGAGGGCATTGCTGCCCAATATGGCCCAAGACACCACATAGAAAGCAGAACTGTGAGAGTTTTTCATACTGGACCAAAGCAGTGAACTCACCTTGGCCTGCCCTCTCATGAGACGCCGGAACAGAGACCGGAAGTGGAAGGCGGGAGTCGAGCCAGACTCGAGCCCGAAGATAAATCTCCGAGGTGCCTCTCACGCGATGAACAGAGCCGGGGTCTGTCTTACCCAGGTAACCGCCGAGAAGGGTAGCCATGCGTTGGGAGCAACAGGCTGTTGGAACTTCCCAGAACTGAAGAAAGAGAGGCACTCTCCACAGTTGGTCTGCTACATCAGGGGAAACCGCCACCCATGGCGCCAGATTGATCATGAACTTGGGAAGGATCCACGGTGCCATACGAAGAACTCTGGTCATATCTCCCTCATTGGGGAATACAAATTGTAGCAACCCTTCCTCCGTTGGGAGAATAGAGATCGGCCCGTCGCAATCCCAGAGCCCCCTTAGGGTAGTGAGAAGATGGCGGATTGGAGGTGCAGGCCCAATGATTTTGCCAAGCAGAGAGAGGACGTTCCTCTCTGCCCCTGGAGTGACATCAGCGTCGCCGAAGAGGACCACAGTTCCGGCCGCCATGGATTTGGATATAGGAGAAGTGAAAACCGCGAAGAGTCGAAATCCAGATAGGAAAGATGGTAATCGGGATTGGGCATACCAGCAAAGGGCTGAATCAACCGGGTATATAAAGATCCCCATGGAATCCCTGGACGATTCCGACGGCCCACGACGGCCCAAACGCCGGTGAGGGCAGTTCGCACGACGGCGATGTCCACGCCCCCACTCGTCACAGAGGAACGGAGATGGGGAGGATGAAACGGTTTTTTTTTCTCTCAAATTATTATCGAAGGCGCATTATTTTGTGGGATGTACCAATTGCTAATTCTTGAAATTTGTACTAACCCTCAGCATATGGAGTCACATACTCAAAACCAAGCAACCAAATGACTTATTAGAATTGTCTTGATCTCATGCTTATAAAGATTCTTCATTTTTAACCTAATAGCTCGATTTAGAGTCTTCTAACTATAAAAGCTTGTAATGTAGAAGACATTCAACTATTAAATGAAAATTGTCATCCCATGTTTAATTAGTGGTTGATGAAACATAATGTTTATCGTACATCGTCAACAAAGATTTCTCTAACGTTCACACGTGCCATATAATACTTGTACATCATTAAGTTTCTATCCAGAACTTTTACTATATAATACTTGTTTTATTTTATAGATATATTAATTAGAAATAAGAGTAAGGATGGCAATGGGTCGGGTTTGCCTAAATCATCCTCATTCTCATTCCCATTTTCAAATACCTAAACTCATACCTGCCACATACCCATACGGTGGAAGGTTTTACAAACTCATCTCCATACCCGCGGTTTTCGGATACCCATTGGTAATACCCGCCCCATAAGCTACTCACCATAAAAAAAATATGTACAAAATTTTGGTACTACCTGCCCAAAGTATGGAACTGATACATAAGTGGATGAAATTACGATTTGATTGCCATCAATTATATTTGTTTTTCTTTTAATTACCCTTCCTTCTATCGAAAAATTACAATAGACTCGTTATTTTTTCTGCATATAACAAATGATACTCGGCGGGACGAGTTTGGGTATGGGTATGGGGCGGGGATTTCAAAACCATATCTGCCCATCTCTATAAAAAAATTTGTGTGTTTTACCCATACCCAATCAATGAGAAGATTCCCCACATTGACTGGGTCGGAGGCGGTTGTGCACCTTCGGCCATTGATTTGGTTGCCATCTTTAAATAAGAGAGTGTTTAATAGCAAAAAATATAAAATAACATAGTTCGTTTATGAAAGTTGATTGACTTTTTAACAATTATTTTCTTTATTTCCATCATTATATTTTGTTTAATCGATGAAAATATTATTGTTTATGTGTGTATTTGTTTAAAATTAGTAGAAATTTTGCTTATAAAATTTAATAAGATATGTTTTGTTTAAACAAATGTGATATATCACTCTACAAACATTAGCCTTTTTCTACAAACATAGATATAATACAAAAATAAAAGAATTATTGAATAAAAGAAAACACCATCAAAAGAATAGAGAGATAACTCCATAAATAACTCATTAACTAACTTTTTTGTTTGTAAAAAAAAGTGTCCACTTTGGCAACTTGTGAATTCTCAGGTGCTTATATACAAAAAGTTGTTTTTGAACAACCATAATATATAGTAAGAAAGATAAGATAAGATAAAATTAGTACTTATCCCAAAACTAGAAACGGGGAGGAGCTTTGCTCTAGGCTACGGGAAGTTTGGGCCAATGTTAGCTTCTTCTTGTCCATATTTGTGTGCAACTCTGTCTAGGTCCAAAATTAGCCCACTCTGTTCGAAGAATAGTCCATTAGTTGGCTACCATATAGGTCCAACACCCTTGTCTCTAATTCAATAATTGTTGGTGTAGCAGCCATCGTCATGGCGAGGCGTTTGTCATTGTTGTTGCGGTGAAGGTACTGGCAATACACATTCAAAAAATTGATGTAGCTTGACCCTGATGTTATGTTGATTATGGAGAAAAGAAAACCCCAAGTTTTGAGTACTTATTTGCTTGGGTTTTAACTAGAAAATCGTCTTGAAATCATCATGACGTATACATTCGATACTATCTTGTTTGTCATGAATTTATCAGATTTTTTTGCAGTCTTATCAATACATTATTAAATATTTGAGAATTGAACATGCGGCACTAAATGAGAATTTTATCTATTGTATAGTATAATTACATAATAAAATGAGAATTTTATCTATTTTAAATTTATGTATGTACAACACATATATACGACATGAAATGTTACCTAGCTAGTCCTATAAGCCTATAACAGATTGACAATTAGGAGTTCAGGAAGCAATCATAAAGTTTGAAAACTATCGTATTGATAAATTTTTATGGGCAATGCCGCAATGGTGATTGGTGACCAGCGAGATTCAGAGGGAAAGGTGCATAAGAGTTTTTGATAGTCGTAACTCGTAAGCAATGGCGATCAGCGAGATTTAGAGGGAAAGGTGAAAAAGAGTTTTTGATAGTCGGAAGTTGGTAGAGTCGAAAGTTGTATGTTAGTTATGGACTTGTAGAGGCAGTCAGTTCCATTTCTAACATAAAGAAAGCAAGCCCATGTATATCGAGTAACATGATCAACAAACAATGCAAAGTATTTATAGCCTTGTCGGATAGTCACTTAGCTCGGACCCCAAAGATCAGTGTGAATGAGGTGAAATGGTTGACGATAAAGCTCGACGGAAAAAAGATATGAGTGGTTTTACCTTGCACATAGCTAGAGCATGATAAATCCTACGGGTAAGTAACTTGAACATTATTTCCCAATGATCGTTTCTTTAACATGTGTACAAGTCGAATAGAATTTAAATGCCCCAAAGAACATGTCACAACTCAAATGAAATATTGGAGCAAAATCCACTTTTTGAGAGTCCAAATGCCGAACTACATCTAGGCTCTAACATTCTAGGTTATTGGAGATGGTGTTAGAACTTAGAAGCGGGTGCTCAACGATCATATATTTAACATTGAGAACACGCAGGTTGGGCTTAGTGGAGGAGATGGCGATTGTGAGGGACAATCTCCCTATTCACGATATTGTCACGATGGATTGATTAGTGATTACTTGGAGTTAGCAGTTAGCACAAGGTCATAATGATGGCACTGGCACGATGGATTTCGAAGAATTTTAGACGTCGATGGAATTCTGGAGGATGTCGGAGCTGCGAATGCCTAGTTTTATCTTGTTATGGTGATTGTGCCGGAGGCGGAGGCAGTAAAGGAACTTGCTGCTACTCGGTTCTCTCTAGATCTGTACGTATTAGAATTCTTCTTCGGGTTTGATTCGAACAAGTTCCATGCCCTTTATCTTGGTCATTTATTTTGTTCTGCCCTAGTCGGTGTGTTGTGTGAATAGGAAAGGCCTTTGTCTTTGTCATATCTTTTGTTCTGCCATTGTGAGTGTTGTGTGAATGGGAATTTCCTTCCTTTGCTTGGCTTTCATTCGGTTCTGCAAGTTTGCTTGGAAAAAGAGAGTAAGACATAGATTAGTGGCTCAGTTAAACATTTGATGAACATAGTGTAAATCCATCAGTTCCATCTGCTTGCCTTCAATGAGTGGAGCAATGAATCCAGATTATGGGTTTCTGGCTTTCAGCATATTTTATGGCAAGGGAAACCCTGCACCTATCCTCATCCCTGCTTCCCGAGTCGTTAAACTTGCTGGGATTGCCATAAGGAAGCTTCGAGCCCAGGATACCCGGAGGATTGCCACACAGCTTCGGGTCCTGTGGATTCTCCATTAGCACTGATAAGTGATAACGACTGAGCTAGTTTGGGAATGGTTAGTCCCTCGAGCTCGTAAGAATCAGTGCTAACGACTGAGCTAGTTTGGGAATGGTTAGTCCCTCGAGCTCGTAAGACTTGCTGGGGCTAATGCGGCTATAGCGTAGGCTGTGCTAGATGCAAGTGAACTGCCTCCTTACTCACAACATTATGAAGTAGTCTAATTTTTGCAGGCATAATTACTCAGCCTTGCTATTTATTGTACTACACTACAACTTCTGTTAGCTCCTGCTAGAGACTCACAAAAGGCAAAGATAGCTTGCCAATTTTATTAGGATGGTTCTAGTTATCTAGTCAGGTAGAATAGGATGTGCATAGCTCCACAGAAAATTTCCGCTTAGTTCTGGTATAGCCCTAGATAGGCGAACCTACGGGTGGAGGCAAGAATTAATGGCTTCTCTAACTTGAAGACCGATTCCAAATACAACCGTCAAATCCATGGTGTTCTGTGAGCTAGTCTCCATTCAAATGAATGGAGCAGCGATGCAAGGAGGTATTTCAACATCTTCTCCGCCATAGGTAGCCCTGCACAAAGCCTTCTCCATGTCCCAAATGGGATGTACTGGGAACAGCTCCCTAAGTAATCGAACTTGGTTGCATTCTCGTCTAGGAGCCTGTCTGGTCTGAGTTCGAGAGGACTATGCCAGAGCTGTGAGTCCCTATGGATTGCATAAGCAATGTCATCACTATGGATCCCCTAGAAGTGGTGTATCCGCCAAGTTTGCAGTCCTTGGAGGGGCGACGTAGCATCAGCAAAGGAAATGCTGGATTCAGATGGATGTCTCCTTAACAACTGCATCTAGGTAGTGTAAATTGGGCAGGTGGAGCTCTTCCACAGCATGGCTTCATCCCACTACATCCTAGCTCTTTGCATATATTTTCCATTGTATTGCGGTTGTTGTTGTGTCTGTTAAGCTCTAGCAAGGCCATGCTTAGAAATTAGAATTAAATAGCTTTATGACTCTTGAACGTTTTTGGTAATTCCTTCAACGTGAACTTTTTATATATGTCCGGACTCATGAAATCGTTGTGCCAATTCTACTCACCATGGGCCAGTCTTTGTTTAATGATCGTCAGTTATGGTTGCATTGGCAAGCATCCAGACCCAATTAACATTTAGTTGATATTAAAAACAAAAGATTTACCCTGAAGAACCTTTCCTCTTCTTCTCCATCAATTGTTCCTCTCCAGAGCATACTCATGACAGTGCTGGATGTGGTCATAAACACCAATTGGCCAAAGTGCAACAGTTTTCCTCTTTTCTGGTAAACCTACTTAACAGCCCTCTCAACTTTCTCCTTAATACGTAGGAGTCGAGCCTTGTGTTGCTCAACAGTCCGCGTACAAAGACCTTTCACAGTTTCTAGCAGTCAGGGCCGTAGGAGGTGAAACCTATATCATTAGCACCATAAGGAAGAACTCTTGGAAGCATTCGAGGGATCCAAACCTGCAAATGTTATGTCCTGGTCACAAACTTGTGTAGCTAGTGATGGTGAGCCAACCATGACATACATCTTATATACGTGCTCGACCTTGTAGATTGGGCCATAGGCTTCAGCCAGCTCTGTGAAGCTTTTGTGAAGATGGGTACCAAGAAATGCAGTTACCCTATTAATGTAAACCACGGGGACCAGGTGGCAGTGGAGCTGAAGATTTGTTGTTGGATTTCCTGAGCAACCAGAATACCATGATCAACGCTACAAGTAATGCAAGCAGAGTTGGCTTGATGAATTTCCCCTGCTGACTTCCCTCCACCATGACCAGAGGCTGTACTCTATTCTTTGGAACAAAATGGCAGGAGGAAGCTCAACTTCAAGTGAAATAGAGCCGGCAAGGACTTTTCAGTTGGGCTGTTTTACATGTTTAAGGTAGTACTTGGGTGACTTTTCTGATTTTGATGAATGATTGGAATAACTTTGTATACTTCTGATCAAGGGAGGAGGTGATGTAACTTCGATGAGTGTGGAACTTACAAGAAGTATCCTACAGCCTGATATATTGAGTGGTTCATATAGCTAGTTAGATGTTAATTGATTTCTTTGGTAGCCTTGTATATCTGATTTGGATTCTCCGCCAATAATAACTTCAGAGTCGTGTCAAACTGTCAATAAGTAAGATTGCTTCCCATGTCAATCAGCTTTGTCTACTCTCTCTTGCTTCTCAATAGTTCTCTGGCTTTAATTTGTTTTTGTTTTCTTGATTTGGTTTCAAAGTTACTGGGAGGTCATGGAGCTCTTCTTTCTTAAATGCTTAAAACTGTTGGGTCTTCCTGTAGTACCAAAGGAAGTAAAATATTGCTTAGAGGTCCTTATGAAGTCTTCAACCCACAGTGAAACCCAACTTCCAACTACCATACTATTTCCTTATTACACGTTGTCTACAGTTTGTTTGGTTCTAGTACAGCTCAAGGTTGGCTAACCTTGGTGCAGGAACAAGAACTAACGACTTCTCTAACTTCACGACAATTCCAAATTTATCTGTTAAATCAATCTGTGTCCCATATGCAAGTCTCCATTCAAATGTGTGGAGCAGCGATGCCAGAAAGTGTTTCAGCATCCTCTCCGCCATGGGAAGCCCTGGACAAACCCTCCTCCCAGTACCAAATGGGAGATACTATGAACTAGTACCCAAGTAATCAAACTTTGCTGCTTTCTAGCCCAGAAACCTCTCTGGTCTGAACTCCAGAGGACTGTCCCAGAGATATGGGTCCCTTTGGATTGCATAAGCGTTAATGAAAACTGTGGCTCCCTTAGGAAAGGTGTATCCACCAAGGTCGGAGTCCCCTCTGGCGCTACGGGGCACTAGAATGGGAACTGTGGGATGCAGGCGGATTGTCTCCTTGATAGCCACATCTAGGTAGCATAACTTGGGGAGATGGAACTCCTCTACAGCATAGCTTCTTCCTACTACCTCATCTAGCTCTTTGATTACCTTCTGCATTGCATCTGGATGTTGCATCAGCTCTGCCATTGTCCATTCTATCGTCGTCGATGTTGTGTCTGTTCCTCCGATTATAGCATCCTGTAATAATATGTATTGTAGGGATTACACGAGCAAGCAAGTCAGGATTAACCAAGCTTCCAACATTAATAAAAGTCGGTATGGAAGAAAGTAGGATCATAGACAGTCATTGTTTGCTCAGGTAATTATCCAGATGGATTGGACTCGAGATGCTTTATTAAGTCTTCGATTTGATTTATGATCCGTGAATGATTTGTATTTAAATTGTGATTGATCATTGTTCCACGATTTTCAATTCTTTTGTTGGCAGGTTTAGCTACTGAAGTTTCAATTCTTTCTTTGACAAGTCTAGCTACGGAATATAGTTACCCAAGAAATAATAGACCATTACTAGCATTCTGTGGCTATGATCAGCTACTGACTTGCTGAGGTACATAGACAGCATGGTAAAGGCTTTGATCTCGCGATGATAAATCTCGATTTGCCTGGAACATAGTTATGTTTGACTAAGAGTTTTGCTGTTATGGTTTTCACTTGGCTCAAACGATTAAACTGGTGATCATAAAGAAAACAGGACACCTAAATTGGTAATTATTTTACCATGAGAATGCCCTTGAGTTGGTTTTCTGTGATGGATGAAGCATCATCTCCCCGGCTTTTAAGCTCTAATAAAATCTGCAAGAAGTCCTTTGTTGTCTCTTTCTCTGCCTTTTCGACTAACTTCTTCCGTCTCTGATCAATTGCAGTACAGAAGATTCCATCACCTGGATTTCCGCTCTATACCTTGCAGGTCAAAACCTAGCAAGTCCTGGAATGTAGTCCGAGACATTGGCTGCTCCTTGAAGCGCCACAAAATCACTCGACAACTCTCTAACCCTGGAAAAGAACTTCTCCCCTTCCTTTCCATGGATGGTGCTCCCCCAAAGCATGCTCAGGATGGTGTTCGATATAGTCATAAACACCAACTTCCCAAAGTCCAGAGCCTCGCCTCTCTTCTTCCAGTACACATCCGCAAGAGCTTTTCCCACTTCCTGCTTCCTAAGCATGTAGGAAGCATCGAGCCTCGAGTTGCTCAACAACTCACGCATGAAGACCTTCCGCAGCTTCTTCCACTCTAGGCCATAGGGGGAGAAAGAGATGTCATTTGCACCGTATGTTAGGACAGTGGACGCGATTACCGGATTACGATTTGCAAACGCTACGTCGTTGTCACGGACTTGTTTGGCAAGCAATGGCGAGCTGATCACGACGTAGATTTTTTGACCGAGCTAGAGCTTGTAGATGGGGCCGTGAACTTGGGCTAGCTCTGTGAACGTCTTGTGGAGATGGGTACCCAGAAAGGGGAAGTACCCAAGTATTGGTAACCTACGTGGACCAGGCGGCAAGTTAGGTTTTCTGATGGTTTGGAGCAACCAAAAAGTCATGGCTGCTGCTGAAAGTGTGGCTGCCCACCACCATGACCAGAGGAGGTACGCCATTTCTCAAACTTGATCTTGTGATGTGCTTGGTTGATAACTTGGAATAGAAGTAGGAAGCTATGTATTAAGTGAAGTAGAGTATGTTATGTGACAATGCAATTCAGTAGTGAAGTAGGTAACTGTTACTGATATCTCGCATATCATTGTGCTGGAAGCCTGGAATCCTTTTCTTGAATCTCTTTACTGTTAAGTTATTGTGTTAGTTATGTCTGATCTATGGCCGCATAATATTGTCGGCTATCTCACGAACTGCTGTGAAGCCGGCCATTGGTGTTAGTTATGTCTGATCTATGGCCGCATAATATTGTCGGCTATCTCACGAACTGCTGTGAAGCCGGCCATGTTGGCCTTTCGTACTGATGGAAAGGGATGGCCTTTCTACTGCATGAGCAGAAATGTATGGCTGCCGATCGGATGACTCCCATGGGTTCTGTATATGCAGAATTAGAGAGATGGCATTGGCGCGCTAACATTTTCGGCAGCAGTTTGCTGCTGCTGACAAAAGATGCCTTGGCCTTGAGCAGGCAGCGACGTAGCCGGATTGTGTTTCTTTTCCTCGCGCTGATTGTCTCTTTGTGCGTCTTTTGGTTTTGCTTTTATTGCCTCTCTGCCATAAAATGTGTACCAACAGGCCAAGAACTGAAGCTTCGTGGCACCTATTCAGTTTGATGTCATCCATTTCGTCATTCTTGTCGTCATTTTTGGTACAAAAGTTGTGGGCTGCCTCCCATTCTCGAGAGCTTAGAACTGGATAGGGCTCTTCCATAACGATAATAACTTGGTCATATGACCTAAGTCACATGCATCCATATACTTATTCCAAAGATTCAATTTTTCTCATCTAGGACAATAGAGAATGAGCATCAAAATACACTAAGATAAGCTAAAGAAAACTAGAACAAGGGCAACTATTTCACCATCACATGTAGGGATGGCAATTTTGCCCATACCCATGGGTTTTTTACTATCCAACCCAATTGGGTTGGGTATGAAATCCAAATAGATGGATATGGGTAGAATTTGATGGGTTTGTACCCACACCCATTTACTTTGGGTTGGGTTGGGTTTATAACAAATGGATATGGGTTTGTACCCATGCCCAAATACAAATTACACTTTGGTACCTAAACTTAATAGATATGCATATTTAGTATCTAAATTTAATTTTTTTGCATATAAGTCCTCAAAATATCGATGGAAAATTACATTTTGTTACCTAAATTTTTTTGGTCTTACATTTTGGTACCTAAAATTTTCAAGTTTTACAAATAGGTCCAATTTTTGCATGTGTAGTTAAAACACCCTCAAGTAAATGGATATCCATATCCAACCCATACCCATTTAGATTATGGAAGCAATATTCATACATTATCCAAACCCATATACAAGCCCCCCAAACCCATATGCACTTCACCCATACCCAACCCATTATCAATGGGTCTACTTGGGTTTGGTTATAATTACCCATGGGTGGGTAATTGTCATCCCTAATCACATGCTCATAACCTACATTTGTAAATCGGCCATGAGGATGGTGAAAAGGGATATACCTTACATTGGAGATACTCTTATGCATTGCCTTTTAGTAAGATTTCAACTAGTAAATAGTAATGTACGCAATTGGATTTGGAAGTATTAGAAGATTTACGACAACCAATGTATATCCCAATTTTTGTGTGGAGTTAGCAAAAAAACATACCCATAATTCTATTTGAGGGCGTACCTAACTTTTCTATGATGAAAATTAAGTTCTCCACGTAATTATGCAACAAATAGAAGAAAAATGGATCAATTTTTATGTAGCATACATGATAGCTTGCAAAAACGATGCACTTTTTATTTAGTTCGCAAATAAAGCTTATAATAATATATTGACATTTGCTCATGGAATCGTTTCACATCTTATTCGATACCAAATTTATCCTGTGAATGAATCCCTACAATCTTCAATTTGTCTTCTCCTTTTAATTCAATAAAACCTTATTGATCATCTCTTCCAAGTTAAGGTAAGCCTCCCCAATCTCATCTTCAGTTGCCTCCTCCGCCAATTTCTTCCACTCCAAGGCTCTTTTCTTCATCTCTTTCCCTTTCTCCCCATCCATCAACTCCCCAACAAGCCTCTCAATCTCACTCCTCGTAACAACGCTACTGATCTCAAGTCCAACACCCCATTTGTTACAGCTAAACCAACAATTAGTCTGTTGTTCGGCAAAGAAAGGCCAGCAGATCATGGGCACGCCACTTGTCAAGCTCTCGAGCGTCGAGTTCCATCCACAGTGCGTCAAAAACCCTCCAACCGATGGGTGTTTAAGCACTTTATCCTGAGGACACCAACTCGCCAACAGTCCCCTTTCCTTGGTCTCGTCCAGAAATTCTTGGGGAAGAATCGCGGAATTGCCCATAACAAGGTCAGGCCTAATGACCCACAAGAAATTCTTGTTACTACTCGCTAGTCCCCAAGCAAACTCAGCCAATTGATGAGGTGTCATGACAGTGATACTCCCAAAATTGACGTAGACAACCGAATCGGGTTCTTTCAGGTCGAGCCATTCGAGGCAATCAGTTTCCTCTTTCCACAGGTTCGATTGAAGAGATTCCAAGCCGGTTTCTTGGACTTTCAGGAGGTGCAGAGGGCCGAGTGTGTAGATTGGAGGGAAGGTTGGGAAGAGAGACCGAAGAACTTCTTGTTCTAGTTTATCAAATGTGTTGAAAATTAGTGCCGATGCATTTCGAACTCGTTCGATTTGTTCTAGGACAAAATTGAACATAAGGTCGTTTGCATCCGTTGTGGCGAAAAAGCTTGGGAGATACTTCAAAGGGATGCCTTCCATGCCAGGGATCCAGTCAACTTGAGTTTCCATGTACCCATTTGTCAAGTAACTTGCATCTGTCAATATATAGTTACATAGATCATAGTTGTGGTTAAATTCTTGGAAAATGATACGGTATTAAAAATACTATTGAAGCAAATATTACGAGAGTTACTTATAAGCAATGTAGTCGAAAATGCGTTTCTACGTAGAAACGTAAAATCGGAACATTTTCTTTAAAGCGCAGTTTTTAACTACATTAATTATAAATACTAAAATTATGCGTAAAAATGTTTTGGTAACCTAAAAGCATAAAAATGTAGGTTCTTAAATTTTAAAACGCGATTTTAACTATATAAGTGTAAGCAAAATAATACCTTTGAGGGGAGCAATGCCCTTTTGGAGGAGCTGGCGATAATGTAAATAACCCACGAACCCACACGCGCTCGCCGTCCATAACAACACATTAGGGACCCCGATCTCCTTAGAAGCATCAAGCGTAAAACTCATGATGGCGTCAGAAACCACACAGCTAACTGGCGGCGGCGGAGGAGCCACTCCGCCACCACCATCACCGGCCGACGCCGCTTCGTTTAGCTCGGAAAGCAGCCGTTTGAACGGAGCCAGGCAGTGCTTCCTCGTGGAATCGCACAGGGCCGGCACTTCCTGGGTGGCGTCGGCGTCGGACGGCGGGAGCCCGTCGGGGATGGTCTCGAAGCGGAAGCGGTCGGAGAGGCCGTCGAAGGCGGCGGAGCCACGGGAGCGGAGGAGGCGGCGGTGGTTGAACTCGGTGTTGACGAAGGTGACGTGGAAGCCTCTGTGGTGGAGGATTTTGGCGAGCTTGAGCATCGGATTTATGTGGCCTTGCGCCGGGAAGGGTATGCAAACTGCATGTGGTGGTGCATCAATGGAAACTTTTTTTTTAGGGCTTCCCATTTCTCTCTTGTCAAATCGTTAAGGAAGTGTGTAGGCTAGCTATCTGCCTTTGTTCCTCTGTTTTAAGTTTGATGTGGAAGGAGAGCAAGCCCCTGCGGGATTTTATAGGCGACTATATGGATGATGAATTAATTATCCATGCCCAAGGTTGTCAAATCGGTTTATACCTCTGTACCGATTTGGCAAGTGGAATGATACGAGTACGATCAATGGTACAACCGGCTTGTACCGATTTATGCTGGATTGCTGGTTTAACAAAATACGTGAAAATTATTAGCATCCAGTGAATTTAATCATATTTAAGGTTAATTGATTTACAATTCAACAAATGACATCCATTTTTGACTATTTCGATTCATGAAATAAATAATAAATTAATTTTTTATTAATTAAACACACTTTAAGTGACATCATTTTGTTTAGAATTCGTAAGTTGATCATGTCGGTCACACCAATAATCAATTTCACGAGCAACACCTACTGAAACAGATTGCACAAGCCGACATGCCACCAGCCTGACAACCATGTCCATGCCTAATGTATACTTCTTTGTTTATTTTGTTGTTATATGTCAATTGTAATATGAGCTTGGATGCATTGAAACTTGCCAACCTTTGGAATGGGTTAGAGGTGCCTACTTTATGAATTGTTGTCACGGCGACAAGTCAACCATGTCCTTAATTAGATGCGGGCTAATCTTAGGGTTCAAATATGATAGGGGTAAAAACGGGAGGTTCTCACTATCCTGCGTAAGCTCTGATTTGCCGGCGAGAAACTCCTCAACGGTTATGCTATCAAATTCGTTGGACATTACTTTCTTGCATGCTTTATAATGGAATCCTCATCGGACTAACAACAAATAATGGAAGTTGTGGTAGCTAGTGAGTGTTATTCTTACTGTTAATTTTTTTCTTTAGTTTGATAGTTGTTAACGAGATACCTGTATTATCATGTTTGTTTGGTATTGATTTATTTGTATTGATATCAATTAAAGATTTTGATTTAATCGGACTGGTTGTGTCAGTACTAATTTAACTCGGGTCACCTTCCCCATTTAGATAAGTAATTAATAAGGGGTGTCACACTTTCAGCAACTATCGGAATAAGTTCATCACCATAACTCCTCCCCAACCTTTAGTAAGTCTTAAGGATGAGAAAAGATGGTTGTCATTTAAGGTGGTACGACAAGGAAATTAAAGTCAAATATTGGGAGTGCGGCGATTTATTGTCCTAAAATTGTGGTTTCTATCTTTTGCTGCGTGAGATGAATTTCACTGCTTTCACTTCTATTACTCGCTGGGGTGTCATGACTCATATGCGGTCTATTTTTTTATTTTTTTTCTTAACGTCACACCGTCTTTTCACTTGAGGGGATATGATAATTCACCAAAATTCGACAATATTCCTTGTTTTAATTCTTTAAATCGATCATCCGATAAAAAAAAATCAATAAATCATCTCTTCCTTTGTATCATATATTGTATATAACTGTATACTATACAATATTACAAAGGTCAATAGCAATTTTTTACAGATTTGAATTATATGTAATTTTATTTCAAGCTGAATTTGAAGCGTAATATTGTATTTTTATTTCTTAAGTAAATAAGCTTTCTTGTAATAAAGTCATGCAATATCTACTTTTCTTTTGCTAAAAATATGTACTAAAAATATATTTTTCATGAATTTGCATTGGTATCATGTTCATATCCTTGTCGTGCCGGCTTCCTTACAAAATTTGAAACAGATCGACAAAGGGAACTGAGAGCAAAAGGCATGTTCATGCCAAAAATGGGACATATTGTGTACTTGCATTTGTTAATGTATGAATTGAACACATTTTTCTTGCGATATAAATGATAATCAATGTGAAAACAAGCAATATTATAAATAAATAAATAAATAAATAAAAAAAAGTGAAGACAAGGAACAGCAGCGGGATGGGAAAGCATTGTTAATATGTGTGCGATCCTTACAAAGGATTGTTAATATGTGAATTCTCAAAATAATGTAAATTATGTAATAGATTCGGAACAACTAGTAATTGTTAAGAGTTTAGCCTCCTCTTATCAGTCATCATTTCAAATTCTGTGAATGTAATTTTTTAGCCTTTATTTATATTTATAGCTCCGTCAGACCGTCACCTGCCCTAAACACAATGCACTGAAGACAATTGCTTCTATCTATGACGTCCGCATCTTTATTTATTTGTGACAAATTCACATATTATATCATTATACTCCAAAAAAATTTTGGTAAGAAGCGCCTAGGTTACATTAGTAATAAAACATTCATGAGAAACTCCCACTATATCATGACAAATCCATTGGTCAAAGTTTTTGTCTTCTATATTGAAAGGATGTATACCAAAATCGTAATTATGAGCATTGCTAGCCAAAAAATCAACAATAAAATTGACTTCCCTATACACATGAGACAAACAGACATCCTATTGTAGATTCAAAAGGTGGTTGAATTGTTTGACAATGCTACCATGTCGATGGTCATCCTCAAATATGTTGCTGATGATGATCTTGATAGTTGTTATGGAATCGATGTTGAGCTGGATCTTGCGATATCCTTCCTTCCAAGCAATCTTAAGCCCCTCTATCGTACCTCTTAGCTCTGCTGTAGTGATAAAACATTAAGTCATTTAAAAAAAAAACTAAATCGATGAAACGTATCCGTGTGCTGTCCATTATTATTAGGATAATATGCACTTAGGCAAGACCTACAATAATTAGCATAAGGGTTACATCAAAATGGTACACGGAAACAAAACATGATTAGTGTACAGCGCTTGGCCTAACGTGATGATGATTATCTTGCATTTGAAATTTGAGTGCTCAAGTACGCTTCCCTCTGAAATCGGTCTCTCCTTCCTTCCACACACACTTATTGAGACGCATAAACTCATCTCTTTACGGAACTAATTAGGAACACTACACGAGCACTCGTGGAATTAGGAACCTCATTATGAGTTTGACAAACATCTTTTTCGTCGTCTTATCTTATTAGTGCTTCCCAAGAACTGCACGTAATCCCTCGTGAGTCGTGTCCATTAGTTTAGTACGTATATAACCAAGAGGACTAGAAATAGGAAGGAGCTTTACGCTAGGCTATGCAAAGTTTGACCCAATATGTTAGTCCATATGAGTGGGACTCTGTCTAGGTCCAAAATGAGCCCATCTTATTCGGACTATAGCCCATTTGTTGGGATACTCATTTAGGTCCAACATCCGTGTCTCTAATTGAGTAATTATTGGTGTAGCTTAGTGCAATCTTTTTTTTTTTTTTAGCAATAGACAATGGCATTACCAAATCAAAGATATCAAAGTCTTACAAACAAAGTCTACAATCCAAAAAGAAATCAACGGTCAAAGTCAAAACTCGCAACAACAGCAGATAACAAAGAAAGGGTCTTCCTGGCTACGTCATGAGCCACCCGATTGCCACTCCTGCCAACAAACGAAACACCAAAAGCACGATACTGCCGCCGCAACCCTTCAATCTCCTCAAGAATCCGCCCACCCTTCAAATCCCGAGCCTCCCGCCGCTGAATCTTCTCAATAACACCCTTGGCATCCCCATAAAACCATACTTCATCAAGCCCCTTCCCTGAGCACCACTGGATTGCATCCCGAAATGCAACCAACTCCACTAGGAAAGGATCAACGATACCTGCATACTGAAAACCCTTAACCATACACACACGCCCCATACCATCGCGGACAACCAAGCCCCCCGCACCATGAAATCCCGGCGCAACCGCCCCATCCACATGACAGGAAAACGGCATCACCATCTGCTGCGATTGACCCTGTCCCCTACCCCCTCCCAAAACTCGATGCTGCGGCTGCAGCATCTGGACTTGCCCCGGCTGGATGAACGCCAACCATTCCCTCACCTGTGCCTCGTACTGACGAACTAAACACGGAATATCATACTGCAAATGCTCAAAAACCACCCAATTCCGGCTCTTCCAAACTCTCCACAGCAAGGCCACCATGCGCACAATCCGCTCCGTCCCAGCATCTTGCTCAACCATCTGACGGAAGAACAAAGCAAAATTAGATACCTCTGCCATCCCTTCCACACCCGCCACCCCCGAGCAATTCCAAAGGGCCGTCGCAACTCTACAAGTCAAGAACAAATGCTCAAGAGTCTCCACCGGCGCCCAGCAAACCGGGCAGCGGGGAGAGATGGCCACTTCATCTTCAGGTGAGTCTAGGACCTCAGAGGGAATTTGCCCCTGCTTTTCAATGATCGCCTCCGCAGTAGGTAAAATGCGCCTAAGGAGCTGCCAGACAAAGAATTTCAATTTAGGAGGTAGTGGAAAGCTCCACACTTTCTTCCAAAATCCCATATAAAAAAACGAAACCTCCTCCTTCCACCCCGGAGACCTACGGCTAATCTGAAGGGCCAGATGGTAACCCGACTTCACACTATACTCCCCATCTGATTCCCAAGCCCAAACACACCGATCGGATACCTGCCGGACTGGCAAAGGGATCGAACGAATACTCTGCACCGCCGAATCAGAGAAGCAATGTTGCAGACACTCCAGACACCAAGCTTAGTGCAATCACCCATGAGGAGAAATGGAAAAACGAAATCCCCAAGTTTAAGTACTTGTATACTTGAGTTTTAATTAGAAAACATAAGATAATAATTTTATCTATTATCTAGAATCATTATTTAATTGAAAGGTTTATGGAAGAAAGAAAATAGGTTAATGTCCATTTTTATTCAAAAAAATTTCAGATTCTTTTATATTATCCAAATCTATTAAAATTTTATTAATTAGCCAAATCTATCATAATGCACCAAAATATTAGCCATTTTTACATTATTGTTAATAATTTTGTAACTCTTTTCTTAATTAAAATACTAAAATTTTGGAATGTTGACCTTCATATGTCTCTTCCAAATCAGTATTATGTTGCCAAGTCAATATTACTAACAAAATTGCTAACTGGAAGTTAATATTTGATTAATTC